CTTTATATATATATATATATATATATATATATATATATATATACACACACACACACACACACACACACACACACACACACACACACACACATATATATATATATATATATATATATATATATATATATATAAACTACTTAGAGCAATGAATGGTATCTTCGTTCACATCAAAGTACTTCCTTTTGTACCTGACTCAAATATACCAGCATCCTTTTCATTTTTGAAAACAATTTGCAATGTCTTCTTTCAGGATCACCATCAGCTACCTTGTTGCAGTTGATGTTGATCCAACCATTTTATATTAAGATAAGAAAATAGCCTACTTAGAGCAATGTTCTCTTAGTTCTCTTAAAACTACTTGATTTTAGACATGACTCAAAAGCATCCTTTTCACTTTTGAAAACAATCTACAACATGTTCTTTTGGGATCATCATATGCTACTTTGTTGCATTTTCCTTAATCTGTCAATAGTCAGAATTTTTTTCTTTCATTAATGAGAGCCTGAAGTTGAAAAGAGCCCAATATGAACTGTACCAGGGGTGACAGATCTGGGCAATGGGATTCTTTTCTCAAGAATCTCTGTCTCAATCTTTACTGATCTAATCCTAAATTCAACCATCATACACTACACAAGTTCACTTACTAGCATCTATCAACTGAGTAAACCTATGGAAGAGTCTATGTTCATGTATGTGCAATAAGGTTCTCTCTAATTCGTTACCAAGTTGTTTCAAGGCTGCACAACCAGTTTTTACAATATTAAAATGGCAAAATGGCTGTATATATTCTGAACAGACCTAATACATACATACATACATATATATATATATATATATATATATATATATATATACAATAGAAATTCACATTCATGTTAACTGGGGCAAGGAATGGCTTGTTAATTTTAACACCTCCAAAACAAAAACTCTCTCTATTAATCATCTGGAAGAAAGCTTGGAAAATTTAAACTCACAGGACATATTGAAGGCAAGAGGGGCAGAGGAAAGAAATGCATAATCTACCTAACAAGCTTTTGTAAATAGTTAGCAGAACAGACATAGGAGATATAGCAAAAAAAATTTACTAAGGGCTACAATGAACAGGAAGTAGTGAAGAGCCATAGTCCCCCATGTCCTGAAGGAACATTGCACATAGAAGAACCTAGCTAGTAAACATAAAAATAAAAGTATACACTATTGACAGTTTGACATGTGTGTGTGAAGAGGTGCTGGAAAGTCTTTAGGACAACAAAAAAAATCTGATATTGAGTTAGTTGATCAAGATTTTGAGAGGTAAATCAGACAGAACTTATCAGCACCCCTTCAGATAGATAGATATTTAGGTTGCCATTTTATTTTTGACATTAACATTATTCAGCAATATATTTAGTGTTTTTTCTCCTGTCATCTTTCAAGCAACTTCATAATTCCATCCTCCTATGTTTTTTTTTTCTCAACTATTCCATGTACTTTTTTAAACATTCTGGGGAAGTAACTTTTCTTTCTAAGAGAATTTCCTAAAAAGCATAAAAAGGATAATCCAAAGATGCAATATTCAGCAGAGAAATGAGAACATGCCAGCCAAAATGCAACAATTTTTACATGGTTACAAAAGAAATATACAATTTATGGATCTTTCCTGGTGGAATATTGCACTTTTTACTAACTAACTCTGGATCGTCTTCATTCATTGTAACCTTAATTTGGTCTAACTTGGAGTTGTGTTTGAATTAATTATCTGGTTCTTCAGAAGTAGTTCACTGTAAAAGACTTCCTTCCAATTACACACAGAATCACATTTTTGAATGAAGGCTTCAGTTTATATGATTAGTGGTAACTCATTTTGTTCATTCTACAACCTCTTATATTTTAATATCATCAGTAGGTTTTTCACTTATATTAAAGCCATACAACAAAGCAACTTTTTAAATGCCATGTCCCTTCAAGAGATAGGCGATCATAACTCTCCACAGCTTCCTTTTCTTTATTATCTGTGAATTGCCATGCATGCTTGAGAAAGATAGTGGAATGTCTTCTCCACAGTTTGAATTAAGAGTTTTCCTTCTCTTAGCCAGGTTGTCACTGCCCTGTTATTAGTCTGTACCAGAAGTTAGTGTAAAAGTAAATGCAACCAACCGGCCTGGAATTTGAACTTTGTTCAGCTAACTTAATTTTCTGTACCAAAATCCGTTACACAGCCAACACATCATTCAAAGCAGCTAACAAACAAATAATTTTCAGTTTTTTTGCATTTAAATCTTTTGGATCTATTGGACCTCTCCCCCATGTCATTTTACATTGATTATTCACAAGTAATATTTTTATTTTATTGCTATTAATATCATTTGGTCAACTCAACCATGGATTCTCATTCAATGAGAAATTTCCAGAATGGAACTTCACAAACCAATTTTCAAATATTCAGTCATTTACAATACCTTCTCCATAAAGTGGAAAAATATATTTTTAATTTTGAGTTGTATTTTTACCTTTCTTAAAATAAAATAAAATAAACTTGTGTCTCTTTTTCTTCAATTTTCTATGTTAGAATTAATAAGCAAACCTATGCAAGTTTTTGATAATTTTTTAACAAATGCATGCTGATATGACAGCTGCCATATTAAATCAAATGGAATCTTTTTGAATAACTTCAGTTTAAAAAAATCTTCCTAATGTCATCAAATGACAAACAGAAAGAATGTGCAAGTTTTTTTGCTTACTGAATAACTTTGTGCATATATCAGTATTTCAGTGACCAGACAACAGAATACTGATTTTAAGAAGTGGGTGGGGCTGAAAACTTCTTAGGAGTCCATCATATATAGAAAATATATATATATATATATATATATAAAAACATAGGTAAATAGAGTAGACATAGGAATCAACATTGTATGGTAACTGTTAATTTCACACTTCAAGTGATCTTCAGGTCATATCTACATTATATTCACACTATATCTACAAATATTTTATCTCCAATATCAAGCATTCTACCTCCATAATATATACTGAAAGTTAAAGCATATATATATATATATATATATATATATATATATATATATATATATATATATATATATATATATATATCCAAGTATAGGATTGGTGTATATGGAATGAATTCCAATAATGATATGGAATGAATTCAATGCTATTCTTAAAACAAGTTCTCAATACAGAGTAGAGCAAATATAATTAATTCAAAAATTATAACATAAATATGTTATAAAATCATTACAAAAATATATATATATTCTGTGTATCTAAAAAACGAAACAGGCACACACATCACACTTTGCTTACATTACAACACCCTTTGCCTGTGCCACAACACTTCAACACTAGTTCTATGAAACTCACCTACTGTCTCTATCCACCCTGATACCTACCCTGATAATGACTTAAGAAAGTCAAAAGGTTGGACCATATTTCTTATAATTTTCTTCAGAAATGAAATTTGGACAATTTTTGATAGAATTTATTCCTTGTCTCAGAAGGATTATTCATAATTTGGAAAGGTCAATCATTAAAATTAATCTCTCTCTATCCCCCTTTCTCTGTCTCTCTGTCTCTCTCTCTATATATATATATGTGTGTGTGTGTGTGTGTGCAGATATGTAGAAAAATAGGAAAGAACATTAGGTAAATAATCTGAAGTTCTTTAGTATTTTTGTTTTTATTTTTAAATACAGTGCTCCATACAGAAGTAGAGATTTCCTAAATTTTCGCTTGATGATGAAATAGTGCTTGATACTTTGACTCAATTTTATTTTAAAAATTATATTGAGGTTTTTGAAACATGAGGACTCTTATGTAGCGAAGGAATCATATTTTTGAAAAATAATTATAATATATATATATATATATATATATATATATATATATATATATATATATATATAGCCCACATTGCAACAGGTCTGAGTGTAACAGACATCTCTTTGTTACTGCTTGTAATGAGTGCATCTGTGTCCTCAAAGAAGTGAAGTTACTGTTTGCTGATAGAGTGAAACAATATATAGCCTTTCACAAGTTTAGTTCTAGAGATTACTGATGGCTCTGCAAGAGTGCAAACAACAGCAACTCCTCAGCCCCTCCTCTCTTCAATCAATTTGAACTTCTAGTATCTACAGCAGACAAGGTTTAGTGTTTAGACAAGGTTTAGTGCTTGGAAGTTCTCTTTCAGCTCCACACTTGACTCATCTGGAGTACCTGTGCCTGATTTCCTTCCCTAGAACAGAGGCTCTACTGACTGAAATGCTCCTAACCCTGTCACTGGTTTTAGACATTATTTCCAAACTATTCTCTTCCCACAAGGCAAGCTGATGTGACAGGATCCCTGCTGTAGTCCTAAAGAAATGTGCTCCTGGGCTGGCTCCTGTTCTCTCTAAACTCTACAACAATTGCCTTAATGTTTTCTGATTTCTAGAAGGAAAAGTTTGAATTTAAACCTCCTCTGCCTTGCAGCAATACTCAAATCATGAGAAAAGCTTCAGAAGCAACAGAAATGTGGTTCTACAGAAAGATCCTGAGGATACCATGGACTGTACATGTGAGCAACAAGGTTTTGGAGAGAATGAAAACAAAGAGGAACCTATACTTAACATCAGGAAGAGACAGTTGAAGTTTCTGGGGCACGTAATGAGGAAGCAGGGCTAGGAAAATCTGATACTCACAGGACATATTGAGGGAAAGAGAATCAAAGGAAAGCAGTGCATAACATACTTGATGGGCATGAACAAATGCATGGAGGAACATGGTTTGGAAGAAATAACAAAAGGTCAAAACTTATTAAGAGCTATGAAGGACATGAGGATGTGGAGGGTCATGATCGCCTACATCTTGAAGAGCCATGCCACATAAAAGAAGGAGAAAGATTGAAACTTGAGCAGTGGCCCAAATTTTGTCGCTCTGTCTTGGTAATTTATGTAGCAAGCATGCGCGGAAGCGTCCTCGAACTGCATGTGTGTGTTGTCGGGCACACCTTGGAGTACCATATGGACTCGACCGAGGACTACAAGAAGAAGACGCGCGAGTCGTTTGGTGTTTTTTCTTGGGCGACAAAAGCCGTTGCGGTCGGTCATCCGTCGACAGCAGTCTTGGGTGCCGTTTTGCTCGTTTGCTGTCGTAAAGTGTTTGTTCGAAAGAGAAGGTGTTCTTTTCAGGTTCACAAGAAGGCGTTTGTTTCAGGTTCGCAAGTAGGCGTTCGTTTTTTTGTGTCGCAAGAAGTCCCCCCCCCCATTTTCTCGCACAAGCTATTTCGGCATTATGGCTTCGACCAAGCTGATACCACTGTTCGACAGAAGCGATTCTGGACAGTCGGTAGTGGAATGGTTGGAGAAGGCGGAACTAATATATCAGTTGAGCGGTGTGGTTTAATTGAGTGTGTTATTCGATGCGCATTTTGACAGGTGGCGATATGCTGTGTACCAGCAATTGAGTGAGGAGAAGCCAAGAGACTTCAATTGCGTTAAGAAAGCGTTATACACGGCTTTTGCCTTAGATCCCTTCTCCGCGTGGAAGAAGTTTGCAGCACGCCGCCTTCTCGGTCGGACGTCTTTTTGGCAGAACTGCACAGACTCGTGGTTCTGTTTGGTGGCGTATCAGAAAAGTGTTTGCAGTGTGCATTCGTTGCTGGATTGCCTGAGCATGCAGAGGAGCTTTTAAGAGTGTCATACCAGATGGAAGACCTGGATTTGTTACATGTGCTGGCACGAGCTCGCGCTATTTTGAAGAAGTTCACTGGTCCTATGGAGCAGGCCGCAGTGGCTGCACAGTTGAAGGAAACAGATGTGCACACGAGGTGCTATAAATGTGATGGACCCAATCATAGGGCGAGCGATTGTCTCCTGGGTCGTGAACCATCCAAAGGTGCTGGTACCAAGCACTGACGGACCATCACTTGCTATCGATGTCATCGGCAAGGGCACATTGCTCGGTGTTGTCCGAGAAATGGGCAAGGGGGCAAGAATTCAGCACCAATCTCCTCCCCAAAACCCTTGCCTGTAGTGACAGTTCATATCGATGGAATACCACGTATAGCTCTGATGGATACAAGATGCACACAGTCACTAGTCCGCAAGTCATGCTGTCGAGCATGGACAAGAAAATCAACACGCGTGCTTACAGTAGACGGAGGTGCACTTGACTGCTGTGGAATCGAAGTGGCACAAGTTAGCGTTGGTGCAAAGCCGTCCATCGCTATGGAAGTCCTAGTCGTGGATAGAGACCTGCTTGGATTTGACTTGCTGCTCGAACTAGATGCCATCAAACAGTTGGGAGGAATATCTGTAACTGGCACCAGTGAGGTGAAGTTTCCGCAGTGTGTCGAACCAGTCGTTGCTGCCATCACCATTACTGAGCCCGACTTTAAAGTAGAATTCGATGAGACCACTCGGAGGTGGACGGCATCTTGGAAATGGGCTGGCAACCAACCTCCGGGTACGTTAGGAAATAGACTGGCAGAATATCCAGCTCCCACACAAATTTGGGAGGGGTATGATTGGGAACTCCAGATTTTGATAGATAACGGTTGGCTGCTTCCTTACCCAGAGGAGGAGCTTGGACCCCCAAAGGGTTTAATCCCCCTCATGACCATTTTGCAGGGAAACAAACAGAAGGTTCGGCCCGTCATGGAATATTGGGAACTCAATGAGTATGTTGATGCGTTCGCGGACAATGCAGATGTTTGTTCTGTAAAATTACGGGAATGGCGTCAGCAAGGACCAAATGCTGCAGTGCTGGACCTATGCCGGGCCTATCTGCAGGTACACATCGACAAGTCCCTTTGGCCATTCCAAACAGTAGAGATTAAGGGACAAAGGTATTGTCTAACCCGCTTAGGATTTGGGCTCAATGTTGCCCCTTTAATCATGCGGGCTATTGTTAATACCAATACTATCGACACAGCTTTGGTGCATGACGACACAGTTGCCAATCCTTATACGGTAGAAGAGAGTGTCTGGGTGAAAAATCCGCACGGAAGGTGTACGACACAGTTCAACAAGGGTACAGTGACACAAATTAATAGTCCACACTCCGTCTCTGTTGATGGAATACAGCGCCACATAAAAGATGTGCGTCCAACGTGCGGGAAGGATTATTCCGTCAGCAACCACGTTAGTTCTTCTTCTGATGATGATGATGATGAAACCCCGATGGTATATATAAAATCACAGGAAGAACACACCTCAGAGGGTAGCGCACCTGATGAACCTATGCAGGATGAGCTCAGCGAGACGCCTGAAGAGAGCACCACTGAGGAAGTGCTTGAGACCATATCACTGAGACGGAGCACCAGGCAGAAACAGCCTGCCCCACATTGCTATTTGTGTGATCTCAAGATCAGGGAGGACTGTAGCAAGCATGCGCGGAAGCATCCTCGAACTGCGTGTGTGTGTTGTCGCCAGGCACACCTTGGAGTGCCATAATGGACTCAACCGAGGACTACAAGAAGACACGCGAGTCATTTGGTGTTTTTTCTTGGGCGACATAAGCTGTTGCAGCCGGTCGTCCGTCGGCAGCAGTCTTGGGTGCTGTTTTGCTCGTTTGCTGTCGTAAAGTCTTCGTTCGGAAGAGAAGGAATTCTTTTCAGGTTCACAAGTAGGCATTCATTTTTTGTGTTGCAAAAAGTTGTTTCCCCCCCCCTTCGTTTTCTCACAAATTTAAATATAAACCACATATACCATTTCATGGGAGAGAGTCTGTTCATGCATGCACACTAAAGTCCTCTCTGATTGGCTGGCAATTTAGATCAAGGATGCACAACTGGTTTTCAAGACATTCAAAATGGCTAAATACATTTTGGACAGACTTTGTATTCTTTTTGACTTTAAATAAACAACAGATCTACTAGTTTAAAGAAAAACCAAAAATACTTGAAAAAAATGTCTGTCTGCAGTTTGTGTTCCTGCAGCTGCAAAAATTGCATCATTACATCAAGTCTAAAAGTCTTAGAAAATGCCATAAAGATGTGCTCCATAATCTAAACAACACACCTGCTCTTACATAAATGGTTCCTGTTTATCACAACTAGAGATCTTAATTTATTGACTGTTCATTTCATCCAGCTTATCTTGTACCATTTTACCTTTAATATGAAAAACTACAGGCACACACCATTGTAAAGTACACATCATAGGTCATTTATAAAGTAATGTCACTTTTTTTGCAAGTGTAATAAAAAAAACCTGTTTCAATTGAGCAAACATTACATTTATTTCTTGAAAATATAATTATCATTATCAATGACAAAATCCATAGTTTTATTGTTTGTTCAAAGTATCTTACATGCTAGATAAATTTAAAAAAATATCCATTAAATTTTTGGAACTTCCAACTTGTGTTCATTTTTTGGGGAGAAGAAAACAGAATTGTACCTAAATCTAAAATGTTTGTTAAGTAACAAAATTCTTCCAATTGAAATGAGGACAGATTTTTAACATCTAATCATTTTCATGTTGCCTTTGCTACTGACAAGAGTAGAACATTTCTGTGAGAATGAAAGAGTTCTGAAGAGGCGTCTTTTTGATTGGTTGTTTTTTTTGTTTTTTTTTTTTAATTGGATGTTTTTTATTGGCTGTGTTCTCTGATGAAGATGAATTGATGGGGTTGGGTGGGATATAAATGAGCTTTGCCATGGAATCCCACCTGCTATTCTTTTTTTTATTTTATTGTATTTATTTTATTTTTTTGTTTTTTACTTTTTGACAACTTATTCAGTAAGAGTGAAGGAATTTATAATAAAGATTAGAGAAAATAAAGCAACATCAAAATAAAGCAATTACTTGCTTCATTTTCATTAGTCTGGTAAATTTGTCAAAACATTTGTCTCAGAAATGTTAATTTTTTGCAATTTTACTAATTATAGAACCTTTTTTTCTTGGGCATAGTTTTTTTTTTTCCTTCAGTTGTATAAAAGGAGAAAATTAAAACTGGTAAAAAATAATAAATAAACAAATAAATAAAAATTAATTAAAAAATAAAATCATGAATTTATAACCAAAATGAATTCCATTCATTTTTTTTTTATTTACTTCTTCACTTAGTTCTATTTATACACCAGTGTTTTCTTTTATTTCTCTAGATTAAAAAAAAGAAAGGAAGAAATATTCTTAATCAAGTCTTTTCTTTTTCTTTCTTCTTTGTTCATTTGTCAGGTTTTAAGTTTCTCAATATGTCAAGTGCAAATATAATCACTAAAAATAAAAGCAACTCCTCAGAGTCTTCTTAGAGTAAACTATTATTTTGATGTTTATGTTTAGTACAATATTAACAAAATCAGAGAATCATCCTTAAAGTCCACTTGCTTCTTTATTGCTTGTGTAATCGATTGAATATAGTATGTCATTTATATATACATTATATACAGTAGGGAGAAATAGGTTGTCTGACATTTGCAAAATCTTTATTTAATATATGTCTGTTGCTTGTGTCTACTTTAATTTTATATATTTTGAGAATAAATTAAGAAATCAAAGAAAAAAAATTATCAAACATACACTGCAGAATAAAATATAAGTAAAGAGTAACATATTTGGATATTATTAAAATCTATTATAAAAATGTTATTTAAGGAATGCAGGACAAGGACATTCTCTACTTTCAGGTAAATTTTTAAAATCTTCTAGGCTTCACAATGCTACAATGTCTTCACAGTCAACATTCACTCCTTCACCAAATGGGTTCCCAACTAAACAAAAGAGGGATGTGATTAAACAGCATAATGTAAGTTTTAACTGTAGGGCTATTGTTAAGATGCTAAATATTTTTGTAGTATCATTTGATTGATTATTCTGAAGTGGAAATATTTTGGCAGAACTAAAACTCTTGAAAGTTTGACAGCAAGTGGTGTGTCTAAGGCAAGTAACCCATTGCATCTAATGCACTTTATAGTCTTGCTTGGGGTGAAATAATTAAAAGAATCATGTATCCAGTAGCCCATTAGAGTCATAGGAGTACCACATATTCTGCAGCTTTAACAGCAAGTGGTGTATCTAGGGCAAGATAGCCTGATGGAGCCTATTCTTATTCAAGCTAGTTTTGAATTCAGAGTTTTTCTTCTTCTTGACTGGTCAGCATTTCAATGCAAATGACCACAGTCTAATTGCTATTTAATCCATAGCTGGAAGGGGTAGAGATGGATTCAGGCACAAAACATATCTCACTATGTTTTTAGTTTTCTTTACCCTCATGTGATTTCAGTATATTCCCAGCATTATCAATTGATGAACAACACTCTAGTATTGGGTACAATAATTAAGTCATAATTGCATTTTGATATTTAAGATATATAATCTTATCATTGATGTCTTTCAGCTTTTTTCCAATTAAAATTTCTTATTGTTTGAATAATGTATCACTCATATAAAGAGAATAGCTCTTTTTTCACCCTTTATGGATAATGTCAGTTTCTGTCATTTATAGTCATCCATATACAGCTGTTCCATGAGACACTTGTGAATTTAAGCAGGCTTTCATCACATATGAGTTGCATCACATCATGAGTCTCATCATCCACCAGAGTTATAAGAGCACTACATGTACTGCACTCATAGCATCAGCGATGAGTCTAGAGAAAGTAACCAATTGCATCTTAGTGGCTTTATTGCCTTGCTTGGTGTGAAATAATTAAAAAATATTGGTGCTTAAGTCCTTTAGTAGAATGTTTCAAAGTAAGTTTTTACTTTTTTTTCTTTTCCTTTTTCTTTTCCATTTGCTTTCTTTTTTTTCTGCTTTTATTTTTCCTTTCTTCAAAACTTTTATTTTCATAAAAAGATTTTTCCAATAAATTATCAATCTGTCTGACATTTGAATGTTTGCAGATAAAAACCTTCCAACTTCTAACAAAATCAACAAATCTGTTATGATTTCAGGTACAAAAGGCTGAAAACCTGAAGAATAAGATGTTTTTCATTTCACTCTGATTGACTCCTCTGCAAAAATAATGAGTCCCTAACCTCCTAAAAACATAGTAAATGATTTATGCAATTTTTATAAAATAAAAAAACAACTCATACTTGCAATCAGAAACAGACAGTTTAAATTTATTTGATACTTGAGGAAAGAGAGCCTGGAGACACTAACACTCACAGGGCATGTTGAATGCAAGCTTATGTGAATGGTTGGTAGAAGAACAAAGGACAGTAAAGGGTCAAAAGTTACTTAGGGTAATAAAAATAGAAAGTTGTGGACAGCCATAACCAGCAATATCCTGAACAGACACAACATTCTAAAGAAAAGAAGATTGCACACACACACACACACATACATATATATATATATATATATATATATATATATATATATATATATATATATATATATATGCACTGCACATACTTGCACATAAGCTGTGTACTGAATGCTATCAACAACTAAATGTTCATGTTTGTAAAGGCAGAGTTGACTAAGTTCAGTCAAGCTTAAGGTACAACTCATTCCCAAGTCTCTAGCCACAAGCTCTTTTTCCCCCAGAGGTTGCCTACACAATATATTTGCATTAGAGACTCACAGAGGCGAAACATCTAACCCTGGTATATTGTTTATATCAACATGAGAGAACTATTTTTAAAAAGTTGTAGATGCATCACAGAAACAATATCATCATCAAATTAATCTCCATTATAATTCATATTGCACATATAATAGTCCTGTTCTGCCAACAATGCCAGCAATGAATTCCTGACCACTGACAATCCCTTTCTTCTTGAGTTTCAATCTACAGCCCAGATAGTAAGTGCTGAGATTTGGTTATGCAGATTTTCAATTAAAATTTGCAAAATTTGGAGTTAAATCATTAAATTTGGCCCACTATTTCTAGAAATAATTTATTTATATAGAAAATGACTAAAGCTAAGCAGGGAAGTGATGGAGTAGCAGTGGGCATTGATAAGAAAAGCCAAGACCTTGCTTAAGTACAATTATATGTGTATGTGTACAAATGAGTTTACTAATTCCTTGTAGTAAGACAGTATATGTATGGAGGAGAAATATATGCACGCATATATACACGCATGCTGACAGAAACACACAAAAATGGAAACAGATCTAAGAACGCACAGGGGTCAGTAAAGCATTAAAAGATAAAATGCCGATAAGTAATTCATCATTTCTCTTGGACCAACCTTAATTGTTTTATGACCCTTTGCGCAGAACTCTTCATTGCCAGTTCAAGAAAGACATTCGGATTACTAACACAAAAACAGAGAATGTCTCATATCGAGAATATTTAACATTGAAAAACATAAGGAAAAAATTAATTATTTTTAATAATATGTGGAAATCTCCGCTTTTACCTGAAGACGGTCACGAGACCAGAAACACATGTAGTAAAATTATAGAAAATAATGCATAATATTTTTTTTCTAAAAAAAACACATTACAACCAAAAACCTTTGCAGCACCTCTCTTCACTTCTTTTTAATATACATACTTTTCTCTCGTTGGAACCACTACAACCTCTTTTTTTATCTATCTATCTATCTATATATATATATATATATATATATATATATATATATATATATATATATATAAAAAAATTTTAGTGGATACTCATATTTGAGTAGGCTCTCTGTTTATTTATTAAACAATATATTTATTTATTTTCATCTACTGGCCTGACTATTCAAGAAATCTTAGTAAAGAAAAAATATGCACTCTTGAATAGTGAGATGGTAACCAAAAAATATATGTTTAATAAATGAATGGAAGGTCTACTCAAATATTGGTATCCAATAAAAAAAAAATAATATATATATATATATATATATATATATATATATATATATATATATATATACAAATGAGATAAAGAACAAATGGGAGTAAAAATATATATATATATATATATATATATATATATATATATATATATATATAAGTGAATCTAATTGAATATGATAATATATATATTTTATATTGATAAATATATAATATATATATATTATATATATATATATTACATAATATATATATATTTATATATATATATATATATGAGGAATCTAACTGAAATAATAAAAAAAAAAAATTTTAATATACAACCCAGTGTGTCTGAAGATTTTAATTTTTTAATATTTTTTTATTGTTCAAAAATATATATATATATATATATATATATATATATATATATATATATATTAGCTATTTCCTTACAAGGAAACATTTAGCATTCATTGAGCAAGCAGCCTATGCTACTTTTAGTTGAAATTTATAAAATCATCAGGAAGATAGGTTCCTCAACTCTAATAATTGTTATCACTCTTTTCATCATTGATGGGGCATTCCTTCCTAACCTAAGGTGATCTTGATTATACCATTTTCTATTTGAGTTTAATATGCTATCCAGAGATCAAGATCATCCAACCAGAGTACATTCACTTGAAGCCATTTTTTACTGTTGATCTAAGAAAGCAGTTTATACAAGTTTAGATATTTCTGAATGAGTTTAGTGCATGATATTCATATGAAAGTTTCAGTCTGATGAGGCTATTTAAGAACATGACTCGACTTAATTTTGAATATGCAGATTGTTGTTTAACTTCACTGATCTACAATTAGATTTTACTCTATCTTAAATGACCTATACAAATTTTAATGTGTTAGAAATTCGCTTTTATATAGTGGTAGGTCCTGTCATCTGGCAAAGCATATTTAGCAATGTCATTTCTATTTTGAAAGATATGAAATTTGTTTATTAGAGATCTATTCATTATTTCTGTAGCAATTGTTGATTTTTACAGGGGGTCAGATTGCTGGCCTAATGCCCAACCCTCCCTATTTCTCAACTGGGCTTGGGGTCAGATATATCAGTTGCCAATCTGGTGGGTTTTTTTCTTCTGTCAGAATAAATTTCTCTTGGCCAGACTGCCTTACAAGGTTAAAGTACTTCAACTACCCAACAATTTACATATAGCCATGGGGTGGGATGAAGTGGATTCACGCTGCATTAGAGCAAAGTGAATATAAACAGACTTGGCCAGAGATTGAACATGATTCACTGGTTCCATTTTTGTCTGCCAGTAACTGTTATCTCACTCAGACTCCAAGGCCAGATTCTGAGATGAATCAGATAAGAATCCATTTTGAAGTATTGTCAGTTGTTCTTTTTAAATAAGAAAAAGAAGCCAGCAGAAGAAGAAGGCTTAAAACTGACTAAAATCATAAAAAGAGGCAATGAATTGATTCTCTATTGCTGAAGCAATGTAAGGAAATGTTCAGCATCACTCTTTAGCCAGAATCACTCATTTTTTGAACATTTTCCAAAATCTATTGCCAGCAAGTTTTAAAAATAGATTGAGGGAATCAGAGCAGAACAAAGTTAAAATAGTAGCAATATATGAAAGTTGAGCAAGCAATTATATATATATATATATATATATATATATATATATATATATATATATATTGTGTACTTAGGCAACAATCATTCATTTATGCTTGTTTCATTAAAATGACAGACAAGGTACTACAATTAAGCTTTTATTTAATTTTTCTTCTGTTCAAACAAGTGCTTTCTTTTTTGGGACACAGAGTGTGTAGAAACTGTCCAAACCTTCTATAATTCTGAACGCTTTCAGCTATACTTTTAGCCATTTTCAAGGATGATTTTATTTTTTCAGTATAATTGAGTGTGTGTGCTATGTGTATGTTTTTCGAGATGTTTTATTTTCCGAACATGTTTAGCACATTGTGGCCTTGTTCGTAGTTAATATTGTTAAGTTTCTACACACTCTGTGTCCAAAAATGAAAGCACTTGTTTGGACACAAGAAAAATTAAATAAAAAGCTTAATTGTAGTACTTTGTCATTTTTAATAAAACATGCATATATATATATATATATATATATATATATATATATATATATATATGTATGTATGTATGTATATATATATATATATATATATATATATATATATATATATATATATATAGTAGTGCATAAATAAATAGTATTGCATAAATAAATAACAGGACAGTAAACTCTGTTGTAACATGTTTTGTTAAGAATGGCTTTAGACAAAATAATAGTTTTATTGATGGAATTGATTTGAACTATAAAAAAGAAAAATACATTAAACACTGATTACAGTTTAGTCCAAAAGGCTGAAGATTTAGAGAGGCCTAACATTTAAATTTTAATTTTAACATCCAATGTCTCTAAATTTTTAAGCCTTTTATCACTTATTTTTATCATTATTATTTTGAACACATTCACATTTCATTTAATTAAACGTAATTTTTATTCTTATTGTTTTGAACACTGTCAAGTTTTATTAACAGTAATTTTATAATAACAAAAGGAGATATGATGTATGATAAGTTTAAAATTCAGATTCATTGGACATAAAAATTTATATCTAAATATTGAGTATCTCTACATCTCCAATGTTTTAGTTGGCATTTGTTGTTTTTTTCTCTTTTACAATATAGAATCGATTCCATCAATAAAACCTTTATTTTTTTCTGCAGATATTATTTTCGGAACAAAACTCACCATAACACAGATTTCCATTTTGTCATTTATTACTAATATATATATATATATATATATATATGGGGAAAAATGTTTGACAAAGTGGAAAAAGTTTGCTTGAAAATTTTTTTCACTTTGTTATACATTTTCCCCAATATTGTTATTGATATATAAAAATATATATCATTTTCTCATATATATATTACATGAGGATTTGTCCAAAAGATTAAAAACTAGCAAGTTATTAAAAATAATATATATCAAAACTTCTAACCACTATATAAGACCAATATTGTTTATCGATAGACTTGCCTACTCAGAGAATGTTCTCTGTAAATAAAAACCACAAAATGTCTTATATAGGATATACCACAATGACACTCTCATGGAGACTCACCTGCCACCTATTAGACAAGAGATGTCAGACATCACTAGAATAAACAACATAAGGATCATAGTAATGTTAGACAGCTGCTCACAAACAATACTAAAATACTAGCAAAATCAAATAATAAAAACAGATTTACGATCCACAGAGCAATATTCATACAACAAAAACAGTAATCTATAAATAAAAAAGAATTATAATAAAAAATACACACGCACATATTACACCTTGCCTACATCATAACACTCTTTGCCTATGTCACAATGTTCAACATTTTTCTCTACCCACCCTGATGATGACTTAAGAAGGTCAAAAGCTTGAAGCATATTTCTTCTGAAATTAAACTTGGATAATTTCTGATGGAATTTCCACCTTATCTGAGAAGGATTAATTGTAATTTTGAAAAGTAAATCAATAAAATTAATTGACACAAAATCTCTGCTGTCTTTAGTAACATTTGACTTAAAGAAGCTCCCTAAATACACAGAATATATATATATATATATACATATTATCCCTCACTGCTAGCATGACTTTCATGCACAACAATCTTTAGTGTTGAGTATATATATATATATATATATATATAGAAGAATATGATATATAAATAAATTTTATGAAATGCATTTTGTACCTAATATTTGCCCACCTCCCACTGCATGTATATTACATAATTCCATTTATAAGAACATTGATTTAGTTTGATGTAGTCCTTTTAAAAGCCAAAATGTGTTTTTTTCTTTTGGTCATTCTATTACCCAAGTAAGTTGACTTAAAATCCAACTAATTCAATATATATAAAAAATATATTTAATAATATATTAAAAATTAAAAATAAACATTTTCTGGGCCCTAGATTTTCAAATCTGAAAAGGCAATTTAATTTATTATCCCTCTTCCTCAAAAATCCTAATGTATTTTCCTTACAGACATTTTCTTTTTTTTTATCTTTCATTTCATCCTGAAGAAGTCAAACCTAACACACCTTAGTGAAATGCATTGTTAAAAAGTTTTTCAACTTTGACCCATTATTGCCACTCCTCACACTCGCACACACACACACACACACACACACATGCATAAACACACATATGTGAAGAGTGCTCAATATTATCTATATATTGAGACATAGAGATCAACACTGCATTGTAACTGTCAGTTTCACACTTTAACCCAGGGGCTACAGCATGCATGACACATGTGGCATGCCAAGCAATTTCCAATGGCATGCAGACACAAATGACATCACAAAGTCTGAACCAATAAGTAATACAATGCAAAGAAGATAGTTGAGTTGTATTGAGTTGTATATACACACACACATATATATATATATATATATATATATATATATATATATATATATATTTGTGTGTGTGCATGTACATCTATGTGTATGTAAGTACATATACATGAGGATTTATATGTGTGCATGTCTGATTAATTAACAAAAATTATCAAAAATTTTGAATGAGGAAAAGCATCTCTATTTCTTGAAAAATTATTTGTTACAGAAAGTTTGTATTTCAAATGATGAGTAAACAATTTCTCATTTGATTTTTGCTTTGAATAAGTATATAAAGATATAAATATACTTTTATGGCAATTTGTTATTTCATTTGCTGAATATTGAACTTGCCTAACCTATAATTTTCAGTTTTTATCTAGTTTTCTACATGATCTTAATTACAAAGAATCAAATATTTTGACTTAAGCAAATATTTTGAATGATTGCTTGTAAAATAATCAATATTTCCTGATATCTTGCATAAATATTCACATAGATTTTTTGCGGCAAAACAAGATGAAAAGGAATGATAGCAGAAACAGTTTAATACAAAATAAAAAGTAGAAATGCAAAAAAAAAGAAAATACTAAAGGAAATATACAATTCTTTTTCAATAAATTTAACAGATTCAATTCATACTAGAAATACCTGTGAAAATTTCCCAGTCTTCCTATTTGAATTTTCTGATGAATCTTAATTCTTAAATTACTGATTGAATAAGCTTCTTATGCATTCCACAATTATACCTTATCCATGGAAATTCCATTATTGCCTCATGAAATATTTTAACAACTTTAACAAAATATCACAATAAGAATCATATATAAGAATGCAGGTCATTATTTAAAGTGGTAAGAGAGTACAAATGAAAATATTCAAAATTGACAAGGTTTTCAATTTTCACTTAAGCAGACATTAAGTAAATGAGAGTGTTATCACCTTCTCCATCTTCTCTTCCTTCCTAGTTTCCTTCTTTCCTTTCTTCCTTCATTTCCTCCCCTCCTTCCTTCCTTCCTTCCCAAAACCAAATGCAATGCCTCTGATATATCTTTTCTTCCCTTCTGTGGGCAGGTGACACAGAAGCTATTATTAGTTTATAATCATAATCAAACAGAAAGAATAAAAAGTAAAACAGTGAAGGATAAAGAGAAGAACAGGGGTCAAGGCAACAGAAGATGTTGATTGACATCACATTTAAATTTTTGAAGATTATAGTTATCAGGGAAGCAAGCAAGAGGAAGAGAGTTCCACTGTCTGGAAGTGTGAGAAAATAAGCTGTTGGAGGAGAAGAGGCAGTTACATTTAACTGTTTTGACAGTAAAAGGGTGGAACCAAGATACCAATCTTGTAGCATGCTTAAATTCATGCAGTCGGGGCACCAGTGAAAATAGCTCCTCAGAGAAGATGCCATGAAAATATTTATAGAAAAGAAAAAGACATTACATCAGTGAGAAAGTGACTGGAGTCGAGACCCCAAGTCAGGACTGCAGAATAAACTACAGATTAGCTCTGTGGGTGTTGAAGAAACACAAATGTGCCTGAGTAAATGTCTGCTACAGGTATTAAGTAGTTCTTCTAGCAGATGGCCAAACTTGTAAATGATTAGCCAACAATCATACTGGTATGTGAACTTATGCATATTACATAACTTTTTATTCTAAAAACCTTTAACGCCTAAATATTTTAATTAGAGCCACAAATTAGATGACAAAATTGCCCTTATTTTGAATAAAATATGAAAAAAAAAACTTTCTTGAAATGTGTACACAAGGTTTTTAATATTTCATAAAGCATATTTAGAAAGAATTAAAAAATAAATTCTACTACATATCTTATATCTTGTGTGCCAAGTGCTTTCAGGACATAGCTCTTCACAACTTCCTATTTTTTATCTACATTATTTACAGTCAGATTAATGTCCTCATCTTTGTTATTACTATCACATTTTGGCCATTGTGCTCTCCAACCTTCTTCAGGTGTCCGTCAATCCAGGTAACCTTCAGGGAACTTCAAACTGGACCCTTTATTCAATCTACAGGAATAGATTGTTCTCATTCTGCGGCTCATGTCTAGGGATATCTCATCTTGATTACTTTTTTTCAATACTGTTCAATTCTTGCTGGTCCTGTTTTGGGTCAAAGTTAATCTTTATTCACATTATTTATACTCAGACTCTTGTTTTCATCTTTGTCATTGCTAACATGTTTCAGCTGTTAGTTGTGCTGTTTGGCCTTCATCAGGTTCTTGTCAATCTAAGTAACCTTCAAAAAATTATGAAATGAACCCTTTATTTAATTTAAATAATATTTATTAATGATTTCTTCATCCTAGAAATTCAAACAGAGTATATCTTCATCATCTAGCCCAGGGATTGAACACAAAATTAATTGACCAACCCATTACTCCTGTAGAAGAGTCCTGAAGTAAGAACTTAGACTTTTAAACCCAAAGTTATTTTTGCCACCTTGTAGCAGCACAGTGGCATGAGACTTTTAGGCTAAAATTGATTTACTTGTGCCAAAAAGATTAATGGAGGAGGATAATGATAAGGAAACACACAGGTTATTTTAACAAAATAAGATAAGGAATTTATTTATGAATTTACACGCTTAAAGTTGTGTCAGTAGCTTTTTTGCAGGAAAATAAATCAGAAATTTTTAGTCCATAGTTTTAATGAATTGTCATAAAGAGGAAATGTTCATACAACAGATTAAATCATCTGACAAAAAAAAAATATTCAAAAATGTTTAAAACAAAATAAGAGAGTTCATTTTTCACAGAAGGGTTATATAGTTGTATACATTCAAAAGAGAATTCTCTTCTCTTGATTTAATTTTTTTCCTTATTTTATATCAAAAAAGATTTCACATGCCCACTATTTTCTTTTCTTTCTTTTTCTAGGCTCAACAATTAATTCCTGTGAAAACAAGGTTTTCATTGGTCCAAAGAAAATTTTACACAGGCTCACAAATTTCTTTCCATCTTTTTCCTCAGCTCGCCCAAATTTCAAGGAAGTGGGTAAAGGGAGTTATTATTATTTTTTACTCGCCACAAGGACATTAACCAAACTTTAATAGAAATAATAAATCTTCATCCTCCAAATCTGTGTCTTTTGTTTCTCTAAGTAACGTTTGATCATTTACCCTCTTTCTTTGTCTCTGCTCTGCCATCTATCACACAAACTCATTAAGTATTTTACTCAGTTTTCTTCCTACCTATTTGTTCTATGAGTCTTAAATTCTCTGGGCATTCTTTCCTCATGATATATCACAGAAATTTCAGCTGTTTCTTTCTGATTGCAACTAGAATTTTTTTTTGTTGTTCCTGTTTTCCTATCTTACATACATCTTGTACATTTGTGTTTTATCTATATAAGTGTGTTGTGCGTATGTATATATGTTAAATATATGTGTCTTTATGAAACTGTGTTAGTATGCAAATGAAGATAATATTTTATTTGAAAATATTTTCCCTCCATTCATTTTCCTGTTTATTTCAGTTCAATTAAAATTTTACTGGAAGGCAAATTTAAAAAAAAAAAAAACATCCTAGAAAATTATATTTTAAGATATTTTTTTTTGTAAATAACTTTTCTATTTCAAACCTCTTTCTCTTTCTTAATCAATAACAAATATCAATGTACTTTTTTCTTAAATTACCTCATTTCTCAGTTTTGAAAATATTTGCTTGCTTTCATACCACAGATTCTGATTAGAAGGACCTCAATAAAGACTTGGTTTCTATATTTCACTTCAAGTATTTTGTCTCACTACAATGTTTTCTTTTTTCCAAAAATTTCTTTTATACTCTATGTTAGAGTTATACATTAAATATCCTAAATAAAAGATGTCCCCACCAATAAATGTACACAGTTTTAGATGTCTCACTAGTCCAGGATTCATAAATTTGATAGCTTTCTGGGTTGGGTGATTTGAATCTCTCAGTCATTAATTTATATCGATGAACAAAATTTTTAAATGAAAAATTGTCGCCCGAGGGAAACAAAAAAAATTTTGTAAAGTTAATTTTACTGCAAAATCTTTATGTCGTTAGTAAGAAGAAATAGTGGAGATAATTTTGATATAAAAATTATTTGCATACTCTCTACAGAACCAGAGATATTTATGAAAAGTGACAGTATGAAAAGTTGTTTACAGGTAAACTAAAAAATGAATGTAATATGTTACATTGAAAATTATAGGTGAAAATCACATCGAATTTTAAAAATCTACCAAAAATTGATTAATTAATTAATTGATCTTAATAAAATAGTTTGATTCTTATTTAATAAATGATATGTCCCAGAAAGGGATATATTTGTTCGATGTAGCAAAATGGTTTTGGACTACTGTAACCGGGTAGGACAATCTATCAGGTAACCGTAATGGACTGGTCCTCATCGTAGTGGTAAGCAATAGACGAAGACAATAGGCGTCCTGTACCTCTACATCAGTCTGTATTTATGGCTGACACCAGTCAATCATATTACTCTGAGGGGGAACCCAGGTGTATGCATATTCATTACATCAATAAAAGATAAAAAAATTATTTTAAGGAAGTTTTTATTTGGAACTTTGGAGGAAAATATTTTTTCTTTTTCCACTTAATTTATAACTATTTTTTTAAATTAAATGTTCATCCAATACAAAGCCCAAGAGTCACTCAAGGTAGGCTGTTGGATGGACATAAGAGGCTGAAGTAAATACAGATGATGAGGATATGTAGGATAGATAATGGTTGACTTTAAACACGAAGAGGTTAAGATTGTAATGATCAGAGAAGCATCCTCTTGGAAATCTGTTCCATAATTTAGCAGTTCTTAGGAAGAAGCTGTTGGAGTAAAAATTCGTTCTTATCAATGGAATAAAAAGGGAATGAGGATAGCTCACCACTGTGTACATGGCCTGGCAGGTCTTAGCTGTAAAGGTCTGAACCGGTAAAACTAAAGAATATAACTTGTAAGAACATTTTCCATGGAAATAGCAATAGAGTAGCAATTTGGTTTTCACTGTTCCATCTGTGGCAAAAGGGCTTTAGGGTTGGTAAGTTGTATTGGTAATATAGTACAATATAATTATTTACACTATATTTAGACTATTGTCCTCATCTGTGTTGTTGTTATCACAATTGTTATAAATAGTGCAAATAATGATGACTTCTCATCCCAGAAATACAGACAGATGATGATCAGGTGATAATAACAACAAAGATTAGGACAATAGTCTGAATATAAATGGTTTAAATAATGATAACTCCTCATCCCAGAAATTCAAACAGATAAGTACAATATAAGCATTATTTTACTAATTTTACAGAAAGGTTTGACCTCAGGATTTGTAACTTTAATAAGAATGGTAGAAACACAAATAGTTAATATTAATAAACCATTTGAACTAAATGTTGGTTGAGTGCAAAAAATCACTAACTACAAGGACTTTTATTGTAAAAAGAATTCTTCTTTATTCTGGTTGTAATGATTGGTATTAGTACTTTGTCTAAAAATCTCTTTTAATAGAATTATTAAACTATGAATTTCAATATTTTGCCTCATCTGAATTCTCTCAATATATCAGTTCTTCTTATATATAAAATTTTACTTTATTTCATGCCTGTCTATCTTCATATTCCACTTCAGTATAAGAATTTGGAAGCTTTTCTCAAATCACCATCTTGAAATTTTTAATAATCTACACTTCATAAAATCCTTTTTACCCGAGGGATTAATTTCAATCATCATCAAATTTTTGCTTATCAGCTACAATTCTTTGATCCATTTCTGAGCAGTCTATCTGAAATACTTGTTTTATTATCTTGCCAAATTACTTTTTTAAAATACACTGTGCCAATGCTCTTCCAGAGATATAAAATCCTACATAAAAGATTAACATTTGATTTTTCGAGTGTGAAAAATCTGACACTGTTTTTATCTGATTTTCAGAATTGTTGTTTCTGCTGAAACTGATAAGTTGATGAATAAAAAATGAAGCTGAAATGAACACCAGATCAATGACACAAACCATTTCAAAAATATTCAATGCTTCATGTAACTTCTCAGTTCAGTGAATCATGAAATAT